AGTGCACCAGCACAGGCAGCATTTTAAAGGTTTACGTAGCCATAGTTAACAGTCCTGCTGTCAAACTTAGTGTTAAGTTAAAGGTTAAGCTTGGCCAATGACATTACCCAGATTTATTAAACTTTTGATTCCACATGGTCCCGAATTTACAAAGACTTAAACCTGGCGATTAAAGAATAAAGTCTTCAGAGAAGTGTCTTGATGCATTCTCAACCATCCAGGAAAGCAAATCTCCAAAAGTTGATTCTGTTCATCTGGACGTAGCGCTTTGTGGGAGAAACGTTTCTGAAGGAATGAAGGAACTGGACCTCCCAGCCCGTGGTTCCTCAGTGGGCTGTTTCAGTCATTATGCAAATGTACTGTTTATAAGATTGGAAACCTGCAGACAGCTGAGACTGAAGAAGTCACCTGGTGAGTGACGAAACGTTTCTCCCACAAAACGCTACGTCCAGATGAACAGAATCAACTTTTGGAGATCTTCAGAGACGTGTTTTTGCAGCCACGGGCTTCACCTCCTGCTGACCATCAGAGAGACTACAAGGCACATCTACAGTAGCCTCAGTTTTTAGACACAGAAATCATCTTTCATACTAAGGTTCTGAGGTTCTGTGAGGAGAATAAGATACACTTCTTACCCAAAATACTGGAAACTACCACTGCTGCTAGAGAAGCTTCTACAAAAGACTAAATTAGTTTTAGAATACTTTTTAAACGGCAAACAGGAGTGTTTGATTTTTACATAATATTAATAATAATAATAGAATTGCAAAAAGCAAGAAACACTGACTGAGACTCATTGAAAAAGATGTGAGTGTAAAGTGAAGGGATTTGAATACTTTATGAATCCTGGACGTGTGTGTGCAGCTCACTCACTGCTTTTCTTTCTGCCTCCTCATCCTTTACAGAAACACACACACACACACACACACACACACACACACACACACACACACACACACACCACACACACAGGTCAGATAACAGCCTTTAGCCTTCAGTCATCAGAGCTTCTCTCTCAGCTATTGTCTGGGTTCACTCGTAATATCTGGGTTAGGGATTTGTGTACATGTGCGTGTGAGCAGGAGTGTGTGTGTGTGCATACAGTAAAGGTGTGTGTCTACATCTCCACAGTGATATAACAGAGAGCAGGTCATCCCAGCAGCCATCACATCTCATTTACCCACCCTCCTCCTCCTCGTTCTCCTCCCTTTCTCACCCCCCTCTTTGTTTATCACTCTCTCTCTCTCAGACCCAAAACACACCTGCAGAAGCTCACTCACCTTGGTCCGAGTGAGACGGCAACCCATTCTGCCTTTGCCCTCGGACAGGTCAGAGTTAGGAGGAGCAGAGAGCAGAAAATGGTGGGAAAATGATGAGTATGACAGGAAAAGAAAAGGAATAAGATGGAGAGATCAGATGAAAGAAACTGCAGAGGAGAGGAAGGAAAAGGGCAGAAGAGGGTTCAAAAGCATGAGAACGAAAGACAGCGAGAGAATAGAAAGAAAGAGAGAGAGAGAGAGAGTTTGTTGAGCCTCGTCCGCCCACCAGCTCACATCTCCAAACTCTGAAAACCCACAATCCCTGGCTAATCAGCTGTCCTCCTGTGCTGCTGAGGAAACTACAGCTCCCATGATGCTGCGGTGTAAACAGCAGCAGCAGCAGTCGGTGGGAAGCAGGTCCATCGCATTAAACCCCTCTCTCCTCAGGAATGAGAAATAATCATGGGCGAGCAAACTGCAGCAGGAGCAGCACAAAGCGGGACGAGCGAGACAGAGGAGAATGAATGAAAGAGAGAGAGAGCGGTACATGTAAAGAACAGAGCTGTCTTCATCTGACTGCTTCTTCCCTTTCTCTCTGTGTTCTTCTCTCTCTCTGCAGCTCGGCTCCTGCTGGCCAATCACAGTGGCTGGATGCAGGAGGAGGGAAACATTTGCTCTGATTGGTCAAAGGAAGTGTCAGCTGAAGCATCCATTCAACGTTTTTCTCTCCCCTCTGCTCCTCGCTCTTTCTCTCGTTCTCTGTATTTTGCTGGTCTGTCCTTGTTTCACTCCCTCTTCTTCACACGGTGCTTTTTCTCTCATCCCCATCTGTCTCAGAAAGCCCACAGCATCGAGTGTGTGTGTGTGTGTGTGTGTGTGTGTGTGTGTGTGTGTGTGTGTGTGTGTTTTTTGTGTGTGTGTGTGTGTGTGTGTGTGTGTGTGTGTGTGTGTGACTCCACCAGACCCTTTTTAGTTTATCACATGTTCAAAAATGAAAGTGCACTTTGATGTCCTGTAATATGGACGTTATTTAGCATGAACGTACATTTTGCACAGCTTCGTTTCGAATGTTAAAGTTGCTGTTAAAATAAAAGCTGGACAGAGAACACAGTCCAATCCCGTTTGAACACTACACCTTAATCAAAAAATAATATAAATACATATATATTTATAAATAACCCAACATAATGGAGATCCTGGTAATCTGATCCCATGCTGCTATATTTGGTGATAGAAACATGGAATTTCTTTCTAGCGTCATGATCAAGCTTTCAGTCCGAGTTCAACATTTTAGTTCATTTTTTTGTTTGTTTGTAAGTTATATTATAATTATTACCTAGTTTCAGATTTCCTGCGCTCCTGTCTTTCCTCTATTTGTCTCTTAAGTCTGTATTTCTTTGTTAGACCTGCTGTTACTTCCTGTTTTACTTTGTTACCCTCTCGTCTCGTCTCGTGTAACAAGACTGTTTAGTTTTGCTTGTATTTTCTGCTGTGTGTGATTTCCCCGCCTGTTTTCCCTTCCCTGATCATTTCAGTGTATTAACAGCCTCAGTTTGTGGTAGTTTTCCTCTTACTTTATGCACATTGTTTCCTGCCTGTTGTTGGATTTCAGTTTTATTAACTTTGTCTCCCAAATCTGGATTTTGGATCTGATTTTTCCCGCTACATCTGACTGAAGGATCCTGAGCCAGTGTGTGGTTGAAAGATTTTACCTACACATGATCAGAGTCTCCTACATGCACAGCTCGGGTTCTGGAACCAACTAATGACTGAGAGGTAAACAATACACGATACAATAAACACAAGTGACCAAGGAAAGACAACTTTTAACAGCTTTTACAATATCAAAAGTGCAAAAGCTACAGACACAGACATCACAGCAAACAGGACCAGACTGCTTATACACTGAGAGGCTGACTAAAAGCGAGACACAGGTGAATACAATCAATTAAGCAAAAAGGAAGAAATAAAACTTATGTGAGGCATAAAAGGAAACTAACTTTCAAAATAAAACAGGAAATACACAAGTGAACTAATACGGACATAAATGTTAACATGTCAGAGTAGAAAACAGGAGAACTGAGATATTAACACAAACATGAGAGTGAGTGAGGAACAGCCTCAGAAACAGATGAAACTAAAAACTAACAGACATAAAACAAAACTCAGGAACTAAAATTCATCAAAACCATTGAAGGAAAAGAGCAAAGTCTCAGTGATCTCTCAATAAACACGTTTTGCAATCTACTAGAATAAAGAAAACCAAAGAGGAATGTTAAATCTAGCAGTCTAATTACAAGGGTAAGAGCTCGTGGCAGAGGTGCGGTTTATGGCTCTGCTGGCGTCGTGGTGGTCACGTCAGACCCATAGCCTGCACAGCTGGTTCAATTGCTTGTGTAGATGCTGGCGGCCATACACAGGGAGCAAGCAGTGGCAGAGGCAACAGCTGAACAGACTTCAGGACCAGGCCGAGCACCAGACGCAGGTGCTGGTTGGGGTCACCGTGCCACCGCCCCTTCCTCTGCTGGCAGTGACGACGCACCGGATGGGGAGGGCGACAACCCACAGTTATTCCTGGAGACCATCCAAGCCATTTCAGAGCGTGCCAGTGTCCCACGGCAGAATGGGCACCATGGCTGCTGCTGCTCTCTGGGAATGCTCAGACAGCAACTCTGAGCTTGCCGCCAGCCTCGCCGGGGACCTTTGGAGACATCTGATGGGACATTTTGGATCGCTTGGGCCTTTCCCAGGAAAACCGCTGCTGGCGGTTCTGGGGTTGTTAGATGACAGCAGAGGACCAGACACTGTTTGTGGAAGGGTGTCCCAGAAAAATGGCAGATCCTGGGCCAGTAAAAAATGAGATTCAGTACATCCTGGACCTTAGACAAAGCTGCACACAATTGGGAAGGTTGTCACTGAAAAATGTGCTCCAGGCCCAGAAATGTCAGCAGGGCCTCTGCAACAGAGAGGCAAATTTCACCAGGAGATAAACTACTTGTATTACTGCCTTCTTCAAGCTCAAAGTTAGTCACCAAGTGGCAAAGACCCTTTGTGGTCACATGGTGAGTGGGCAACATACAGACAGGGGTGGAGCCACACAGATATATCACCTTCATCTCCTGAAAGCATGGAGAGAGGCCAAAACCACTTCTCTGGTCTGGTGTCCTGGTGAAGGAGAGAGATGAGCTGGGGTCACAGATGCCAAGGTTACCTGAGCATGAAAGGCAAATCTTCCAGAGAGAACTGGCTGAAATGCTGAAAATAGTTCTTATAGTTCTTGTAGTGAAGAAAGGTAGGTCTATATGCTTCTGTGTCAACTACTGCAAGCTAGATTCCCTTGTCTGCAAATTCCAAGGAAAAAACAGCGTGAGGTTTGGACCTGTTTGTCAAACTTTCGTTTGGCTTGTTCCCACATGGACCATGTGCTCTGTGCCCACTCTGCAAAGCTTCTTAACTGAAACACAGGGCTGGGTGCCGTTTGGTCCCAGCAGGTACGGGGGATCGCCACCTGATCCTGTACACCAGCTGGAAACTGACAGGGCAGGAGAGGAAATACAGCACAGTGGAGAAAGAGTGCCTGGCAATCCGGCCGGCGGTGGACTGTCGTCGTTCGTTCCTCTCACACCCAGACTGATGTGACTGTGTCAGAGCAGGACTGAGGTCTAGTACAGCTGCATCAGCAACTATGATCAGATCAGCTCATTACAGCGTTCGTTATAGAAATATACGGGAGTTCAAGGTTCTGTATTCGTTTTATTATTATTATGATTTCATATAAAATCTTAATGTTCTTTTTTATATTCACAGAAACAGAAGTCCAGGCTTCTTTCACCAACACCTCAAAAACATGTTGCTCAAAGTCCTGCTTATTCTTTATTTAGCAGTGACCGTTTCATTTTAAATAAGAAAGTAGAGTTTACACAAATTAGAGAACTAAAGAATAATCTTTTTTAAAAGGACAAAGCAGAAAGAAATGTTTCATAACCAAAATTGGTAAAGCTTGTCTTATACAGATGGTTTCGTTTCCATGTTTCCTTCTTCATCCTTGTGGAAGACTTCTCCTTCTGGCTGCTTCCTCCAGCTCAGTGCGAGATCTCCAGCGACTCCCTGGTCCTTCAGCGTCTGTTTGAGCTGGGACACAAAAATGTGATTTGCAGAATATGACAGACAAAATTATTCACTAATGTTTGCTATTCACTCTTTTTTGCTGCTGCATAAGTTTGTTGTTATCAGGTATATGAAAGTTAAAGCAGCTTAAGGTTTGTTTCACCATAACGCTGGAGGTGACCAGTTACCTGTTTCAGCATGGCATCCATCACATCATCGTCATTCAGATCCAGACTGTTTTTCTCCAGCCTCAATCTCACCACTTGCTTGTAGGTAGGCGCTGATTAAAGAACGAGGGATACTCGGGGTTAGAAAACAAAGGATGGGCAGCTTACGTCACCTGCTTTTCCTGCTGCCCTGAGTTTAGTTCAGGGTGTCAAACTCATTTCACATGGCGGGCCACGTACAGCCTCCTTTCAGATAAACTCTCCTTTCTGTCAGTGACAAAGAAAGAAATCGCTCATCGTTTTTCTGACGCTCCAGATGTTGATCTTGCCGCTTTGACTTCCCATTTAAAGAGTTTGATCACAAATCTCAGAGTAAAAGTTGATTCTGCACTTCTGAGGTCACGTAAACGAGGTGGTGAAATCAGCACCTCAGACGTTTATCGAGGTTAAGCCCTTTATTTATTATTCACGCCTTTATTACTTCACATTTGGATATTGCATTTCTCTTTAATGGGGTTGGGCAGGGCACTTTGTCACGCTTGCAACTAGTGCAAAATGCCGCAGCACGATTTTTAACTGGCAGAAGGAAATTCGACCACATGGCTCCGGTTTTGGCCTCTCTACATTGGCTTCCAATTGAATTAAGGATCCGTTTTAAAGTCCTTTTATTGATTTTTAAATCTCTAAACGGTCTGGCACCTGTTTGATTGTCTGATTTGTTGAGGCCTCATGTCCCTATTCGCTCGCTTCAGTCAGCTGAGCAACTGCTGCTTTCAGTCCCAAAGTCACGGCTACAACTTAGAGGAGGCCGAGCGTTCTCTGTTGCGGCTCCAATGCTTTGGAATAGCCTTCCTCTCCATATCAGACAGGCTCCATCAGTGCCAGGTTTTAAGTCCAGATTAAAAAACTATTTTTATTCGCTGGCTTTTAACTCTGTGGGTGACTTTTAAATAAATTTTATTGCTATGTCTGATTTTTGCTATTTTATTACTATATTTGTATTTGTATTGTACAGCACAAGTGCCAATGATGATGATGATCCAGCTGTTTTCACGGTTGTTGCAGTCATGTTGGCAGACAACGGCCGACAGGATATCAAACAGGTTTGATTTTCTATGACTAAATGACTGATGATCAGGAGCTGGTCGTGAAGTCTTAATCGTTACCCCACGTACACAACACGATGCACGACACACGATTAAGGCGAAACTCGGGCCGATCCCCAAAAAGCTCAAAATGGACCAAAAGCCACACAGTGGATGCCCAGCTAAAGTTTCACAAAGTAATTTACATGGAAGCTTTCTGTGGTTTCCAGTCATCACAGGTCATCTAGTCAAAGGAGCTTGCAAAGAAAAGCGTCTGGACTTCTTTAAGTTGCTTGAAGACGTTTCACCTCTCATCCGAGAAGCTTCTTCAGTTCTAAGGTCAAATGGTGGAGAGTCCCAGATATAAACCTAGTGGGAGTTTCCCCCCACAGAGGGACAAAAGGACCCCCTGATGATCCTCTAATCGCCTGAGCCAAGGTGTGAAACTGGGTGTGGGTCCCAATCAGCCAGAGTTTCGGGTGAGTTCATTGTGAAACCTGGCCCCACCTTATCATGCGAATTCCTGAGGTCAGATGGCCCAGGATGTGAGTGGGCGTTAAGGCGTCTGGGAAGGATCTCAAAACTGGATTATAGATGGCAGAGAGTTGGTGTCGTAAACCCCGCCTCTGTTCAAAGATGGTCGCTCACAGTGGACATAGATGCTTCTTTCACTCCTCTTTCAAACCATCTGTCCTCTCTGTCCAAAATGTGAACATTGGCATCCTCAGAAGAGTGTCCTTTATCCTTTACGAGGATGCCAATGTTCACATTTTGGACAGAGAGGACAGATGGTTTGAAAGAGGAGTGAAAGAAGCATCTATGTCCACTGTGAGCGACCATCTTTGAACAGAGGCGGGGTTTCGACACCAACTCTCTGCCATCTATAATCCAGTTTTGAGATCCCTCCCAGACGCCTTAACGCCCACTCACATCCTGGGCCATCTGACCTCAGGAATTCGCATGATAAGGTGGGGCCAGGTTTCACAATGAACACACCCGAAACTCTGGCTGATTGGGACCCACACCCAGTTTCACACCTTGGCTCAGGCGATTAGAGGATCATCAGGGGTCCTTTTGTCCCTCTGTGGGGGGAAACTCCCACTAGGTTTATATCTGGGACTCTCCACCATTTGACCTTAGAACTGAAGAAGCTTCTCGGATGAGAGGTGAAACGTCTTCAAGCAACTTAAAGAAGTCCAGACGCTTTTCTTTCCAAGCTCCTTTGACTACGATGACCTGGATGACTGAGAACCTTCACAGACAATCTGAAAAGAACATATTGAAATGAGTAGTAGCACTTTAGAGGATTCATACACATCACACGGTGTTTGAGAGTACGTGATAAGGGAGCATTTGCATGGATTCAAAACCTTGTAAAGCAGGAAATGCAAAGCAGCTTCTTCCCAGCTTTTTCACCAGGTGAGTGGAGTGTCAGGGTGACTTTCCCCTGCCTGTATTGAATACTGCTGTTTTAATAGTTTGATGATTTGATGGACTGCCTCTACTGCATCTTCCTAACGGACTGAAACATTGTGCATGTTACTATAAATTGTTCCTTAATTTACTTTGAAAAATTCTGGTCAAAAGGACTGAGTGTAACTAAAGGTTAAGGCATAAAACCAGTATGTTATACAGAAATCTAAATTAATTCCAAATTATTCTCAGACACTACACTGTGATTGGTGGGAGGCCCCCCCCCCCCCCAGGGTAAAGAAGTGTGGGGTAAGAAATAAAGCAACCTCAGTTTCACAGCCTGATCTCACAGTGCAGCAAATCTGTTGTATCATTACTTTTGCTTCTTTATGGATGGTGTTTAACGTCGGTCTGGAGTGAGCAGTGTGAAGCTCTGAGGTAACGCAGTGTTGCCAACTCAGTAAGGAAAATCGCTATTGGCTGTCCTAAAAGTCGCTAGAAGTCGCTAAATGACGTCATCGCCTAATTTGCATAATTGGTCATGCTAATCTAATTGTAACCTATGTTGTTGGAGAGAGAAATAACATCGTGGAAGAGACATAAAGTGAGT